GCAGCTTTGAGCAGTTGTTTTCTGCAATTTCTCCCATCAGTACCGGTCGAATGTCTGAGCAGTATCTTCACAAACGGGTCACGAGCCACGCGTCATCATTTAGTCCCATTATTACTCTTTACTCTCCCCTTATAAACACATACACACAAAAATGTACTACACTACTCATATGCCGGGAGACCAGAGGCTAGCTTGGAGCTTGCGCTGGTAAGGGAGATGGGCACCGGAGATACCTGGAGATGCGAAACGCATAAAGCCGACGCGTTGGTTGGGACCGGATCCTGCGTTACAGCAGGAGCGGGTTAGCGCACCCTCTTAAGATTAACGTACACTAGACTTAAGGGACGTATGGCCTACGTCGTTGACGTGCTCGGATCCAACACTCGCTCATTTTAATTAGCGAGTAGATTGTCTTCGGCTGGAAAAGCCGCGTCGGACAATGCCGTCGGCTCGGAGAGAGCCTGAACCGACCCTCTGCCTTGGCCCGAAGAGTTGAAGAAGTCCCACCTTGGATATGGACCATTGCGCTTTTTCGCGAAAGACCTCTCGGGGGTTTGTCTGTCTTCATTGCGGAGAAACTCTCAGAGCCTGTGCATTATATATGGGTCAAGGAATGTTGAGAAATCAGCGATTACTAAAAAGCCATAATAATTTAATGGCGTTTTACTTTAGTGTGAGACAACTTGAGTTGAATAGAGTATCACGTGTTTGACCTAGTATTGTGGGGAATATTGGCGCAGACGTATATAAGAAGTAACTTTGTTTTACCTTGCAATTATGACACGATGAAAATTTTTTTTTTAAGAATATGTCATAAAAGAATTTTTAGAATATGGCATAATTAACATACGCCTTCGAACCCGCAAATACAAGACAAAAACATTAAAGTCATGGGATTCGAAACTACAACCTTTCGTTCCACGGATTTGCATCAATGCTTAGGTCGAGTCGACTTAACGCAAATAAATAGAATATGTTTTGCAATTTCTGCTACAAATTATGTCAACTTATGAATTAAATGAACTCACAGAATTATTACGCCTCTTCAGTGCACAAAGAAAGTAATATGTTAATTTCTGAGACTTCACAAGACAAACAGGCACTTGAAGTAAAATACTTCATTCTTGGCAGCGAAATGAACGCGCTTATCAAAACAGTTTCTGGGTAAAATTTTTGTGAGTTGTGAATTTTATCAGATTATATGACACATAAAATTCAATTTTGATCACTCTCTAGCAAATGAATTTCCATCTTATCAAGTTTCAATTTGATGGTTATTTCTTCTTAGGTCATGCTATGTATCTAAACAATTTTTACAATAAATACAATTTTATAAGGTTATATGAAAATCTTCATATTTTTTTGGTTGTCATAATTGGAAGAAAGAATACTTTCCAAAGGATCTAAAAGCTTCATTTATGAAAAAAAAATATATTAAGACCAACAAATGAATTATCTCTCGTATTCATCAGGTAGTCTATGGCCTTGATCTCTATAACCAACAATGTTCTTCTCATTTACGAAAGGAAATGCTTGCGTTGATTAGAGTTATATCACATAATACAATTAACAAGGAATATTTTCATTCGTTAGCTTTGAAAAACAGGTTTCTCCATCAAAAATCTTCCACGCTCTGAAGACTAAAAAAGGTCCTGAAATACGCTAATGATCCAACCGTACTTCCCGGCATCTAAAACTATAAAATGTGAAGCAAGCCGAGTTTTCAGTGGTTTTTCGCGTTGAAAGATTCTGAATTGGGTAACAAAGAGAATTACGTTCTGATTTCCTGTCTAAAAAATATGAGTGTAGATGAGTTAACACGACAAAACTTAAATGACACTTTAAGTAGTTAAAGTGTGCCAGAACGCAAGTGTAAGAGAATAGTGTAAAGTAACTTTATGCACTTTTAATACCTACTAATACGAGTAAAAACAAACAAATAATGTCATATCCGAAGATCCAATAAGAATTTGCAAACACTATAAGATTATTGGCAATATTTTATGGTCAAAATATTATTATTATTAATAATAATAATAATAATAATAATAATAATAATAATAATAATAGGTCTCACTTTCAAAGCAAGTACATCGATTTTGAAAAATTCATAGCAACAAAAGTTTAGACGAAAGGATCTATGCTCACAGATTTTGAATATAGTAAACATAGATGTCGAAAATATTCCTAATATGTTTTAACCGAATTTTTGTTTTCACAAAACCTGTCACAAGATTGTAATTTTTAACACAATTAATTGAATTTCCTGTGCCAAACTCATTATATAAATTCAGAAAAATACTATTCTTCCTTTCCTTTAATGCTATGAATAACTATAGCATGGCTTTTAGAGAAAGCTAATACTGACCTTCGATACGATCTCTATTACGTCCCAAGTCAACAAAAGTTATTTAGAAATTTGTAAATTTTATACAACTTATTTTAGCCTGTTTGTAAGACCCTCGTGGCATTTAAAAAGAATTTTATACTGAGAAAAAAAAATTAATGGCACATAAATCAATAGATGTTTTCTTAAATTAACATGATCTACTTTCGCTGCAGGTAACGGAGAAGGTTGTAAATGACTAATAAGTGTTTTTATAAACCCTTTATTTGTTTTGTAGGCATTGTGTTGCAAACCGTCCAACGTGAATGAACTCAGTTTTCCGACAAATATTTTTCTCAGAAAATAACGTCCCACTACTTACTACTGAAAATTAAATATAATGCAAAGTTACAAATGATTTTAAATGATTTATAACAAATGGGAATATTTAGTAAATAGTTTCAATTATTCTAAGGATTAATTAAAGAAGAAAGAACATTGACCCTTGTTTCCCAAGTGTCTTAGTCATGAGAAATTAGTAATTCTAATTCTAAATTACAAAATGGTAATTCTAATAGAAAATTAAAACAATTACACAATTTACATATACATACACATACATTATTTATAAGATATTACGTAATAAATCTGAATTCTTCTTCACTATACAAATAAGCAAACACAGTGAGAAAAATGAGAAGAAAAAGATATGAACCTAAATGAAGGATAAAGGAGGATATGTTTGACTGTTTAATGTTCAGTGATAATTGGTTATTTTTACATCAGTAATGAAAATGATAAACTGGCGCTAAGCATCAGGAAAAACAACCCATTTTAACCCAATTCTCCATTACTTTACATCACATACATGATATTCCGTGTGTGAGAGAGAGGGGGGAGAGAGGGAGAGATGAGGCATCAATATGGCTATAATAAATAATCGACCAAAAGCTATTTGCACATGTGGAGGAATTTGCGTTTAGAACATAGTTTTTATTGCCGGGAAATATACTCGTAATTTTGACAGTTCAATTTTACAAGACAATAAGAGATAATGCAATGTGCATTTTTAAATATAAATTTTGCGATATGCCGTAAGGAACCTAATTGCGATGTTTATATTTTGAAAATAAACGAAAGTTTTGATCATTAATGTCTTATATTTTTATCATAGTAACTGCATAAATAAGCATTGTTACGTTGGTTACAACCGTCCTTTCAGGTAGTATCGAGTACAATCTAAGGAAAAGGAGCAAAAGAGAATGTCGACCCGTAGTACTAGCACGAAGGTGATCTCATGCACACGGCAGTGAAACTGGGACAAGCAAGTTTACAGTAACTCAACTCCTGCATCGGTTTTTGATGAAAAAGAGAATTGTTGTAGGTACAAAATAAAAATAATAACAAACAAAAAAATATAGGTAAGAAAACTTAAAATAAGCCCAATGAAACTCGTCCAAAAATATTCCAATAAAATGTAAGGAATGTATGTTATGATTTATTAATGGAAATTGCGTTGAAATGCAGATCACGATAAGTAAAGTTAACAATTTGTTGTGTACTTAACGGCGCATAGGAACAAGAGAGAGGTATGAATGTCCTTTCAAAACTTTTAGTGATAATTTCGCGTCTTTAAACGCTTTCGGATGTTAACAAAGAAATTCTAAACCGTCAAAATCCGTTATCGCTTCGTTGAAACTCCTCTCTATTCTTACAGCTAGGTATGCCCGTAAAGACGTTAAATCTTATTTTAGTCTGTCTATGTAGACAACATTGTGTTATCAAAGCAACACCAGTTCAAAAAAAGAGGACATGGTCATATCTGCCCCTGAGGAAGGGACCGCAAGTGCAAAAAATTTTCAAAATATTGCTCGTGGACGTAAATAGTGGCACAACCCAAAAATACGAATTTGAGTCACTGCAGTCTCCAGAATTGCTGATTGGGCTACCTTCCAACAACAACAGCAGCAAATCCTACAGTACAGTTTCCACCAATAAACGGCAGTAGGTTGCAGGAATGTTGCATTTCAATACAAGGTGAAAACTTCTTACTCATCTATCTCACCTGATTTTTGGAGTTGTGTCACTATTGCAGCCCACAATCGATATGTTTGTCTTGCTATACTTCAAAGTCTGAGAAGGTTTCGACACAAACATGTAGAAAATTATTGTTATATATTGTTAAAAACATAGTATAAATTCCTAAATGAATGAAATTTTCCTTCAATTATAATGCAATTTACTTTGGGACCGGCATTAACCACCCCTCTCCTAGACATTGCTATTCGTCAGGTATCGGAGTGACATTGGTATGCAAATGTTCAAACAAATATTCCATTTTTGCTAATATTACTTGTAAAGCTTACACATAAAGAAGTGATTTAAATTAGTGATACATTCACGAATGCAATTTGTGCAGAAAAACCATTTCATTCATAAAATCAATAGTTGTTCTCATGAATGAAAGCGACTGCTTTTTCGCACGTGCACGCGCGGGGACACTGTCCTTGAAAGTGAAAGCGCCTGCTTCGAAAAACAGCGTCAACACGACGCGCGCATCACGAACACGAAGGCAGCCGCAACAGTTGGCTCGGCACACGCCCACTGGCACGAACACTTTCCCACCCACACTGGACCACTGGGCCACCGGGCCACTCGCGTCTCGCCTTCTCACCGGTCTCATGTTGTGGGGGCGCGGCGACGGCGGCGGCGGCGGCACCTGCGGCAGCAGCAGCGGCGGCGGCGGCGGCGGCGGCGACGACGACGTGCGGAGGGAGACTGCTCGAGGCGCGCGCCGCGCCGCCGACTATATAGAGCGTTGGGGGGGATCCCGTTACAGGTTGCCAGCGCTGCCTCCACGCGGTCGGACGCCGCCCTCGCAACTCCGCCTCCTCCTCCACGTTTTCCTCCTCGCTGTCTTCCTACACACCTCCTCATTTCCCTGCTTCACCTCTTCCTCTCATCTCCACCAACTCCTCCACCACCTTCTTTTATTCCTCCTTCTTCTCTTTCCTTTCTCTTCCATCACCCCCCCTCCTCCTTCACGTTCTCCTCCTCCTTTTCTACCAACACCACCTCCTCTTCCTTCACCATCTCCTCCTCCTCCTTCTTCTTCTCCTCCTCCTCCTTCTCCTCCATCACCCCCTTCTCCATAATCACCATTCTTCCTTCACCTCTTCCTCCTTTCTTCACTATATCCTCCTTTTCCTCCAGCTCTCCTACCTCATTTTCTTCCTACTCCATCACCCCCTTTTCCTCCTCCTTCATTAACTACTTCTCCTCTTCTCCTTCACCACCTTCTTTTCCTTCTCTTTCTTCTCCACCGCATACAGTACCATCACCATCAGTGCCACTGATGACGGCTCCAAGGAAACGGGACACAGGAATCATCGTCCCTTTGCAAATTTACGGAGTAAATGCAATATTAATGCTATTAAACGTTGCCAAATTCATAATTTGCGTTCATTATTTTTATAGGCCAACTCATAATTTATAACTACAATTTTTTAGATTTTATTATTTAAATAATATACTAGTAATTAAATTTCATATAATTATTTTTTATAATTTACAACAGTGTTTTAATTTATAAAATTTATCTGCTACCACAATTTGTTGCCACCGGTGGATCTTCATTGTTGAGATCAGATGCTGTTATCGGTCCTGTGTGGGGAGACTTTACTATCTGCGCAGAACAAAAATTAAAAACTAAAATGTCGAAGTATTGATGTGTATTTATATCCGTACATAAAAACGTAACTAATAGACAAAACTATTTGGACCCAAACGAACACTTCTCACTTATTAAAGTATGATTAAGAAATTAGATACATTTTCGAGCTGAATTTTTGTACTATAAACATTTAACATATAATGGATATAAAAGTCCAAGTATATTTTAGAATATGAAATGATTTATTTTTCGTGGTGAAATGCTGATGAAGAATGTGATATTAGTATTTTTTTAAACACAGAAATTATCATTTCATCTTTTCTATGACAAGCTTGTCATAAAATTCAAAAGGCCTTAGGAATATTTTATAGAAAATTTCAAATGTAGGATTTGGATACATGTTTTTTTCTACTTTTATGTCCATGTTATCTTAGTTTTTCTGTAATAAATTGCATCTGAAATCATAGATAGGTAATCAAGAAAATGTTTACGTGAATTTTAAGGTGCATTCAATGACTTGGATTATTCTGAATCCAAAATACGTCAGTTAAAATTGGGAAATTAAAACATTTATTAGAATTGCAGCAACTGGGAAATCAATTAAGAATCAGTAGGATTATTGAAAAATTTACAAAATAGCTATCAAAAATGTTTATCTTTTTGTGTAATACAAAATTTCTAATTAACTCAACCCAATTTTTTCAAACTAAAGAATTCTTTAAAGTTACAGATCCGTGCCTTGCAGGTTGACGACGACCTTAATTGCAAGAACTAGATCGTTTTCATCCACTTCTTCCTTCAGGTTTTTCCTAATTGATCACAGTTTTTAACTTCTTTTGCCCCCTCAATGTCACGCACGGCAACGCCCGAGTGCCTTAGCGGCCGCAGGTTTCAAGACCTGCACCTCTCGTTCACACTGCAATTTCTTTAAGCACGTTCTTCACTCCTTTCATGCCTGCCTCGATCTTCCCTTATTATTTACCCATGCTCATCTGTTCCTTTCCCCCCCACTTTCTCTCCTGCTGCCAACGCATATTTTTCCTTCGCATATTCCCTCGAAACGGCCCCCAATTGTTTCAAACTCTTCATGTTCCTTTATGTCCCCTTATCTCCTGTCTACCTTACTGTCCCTCTGAGGGAGGCCGTAGGTTCGAGTCCCGTCGGTGGCAGGGTATTTGATACTAGCTTGTTAGCTAGATCGAATTCAGTCGCTGTTTGGAGAAGAATTCTAGCGGCCGGCTCTAATCGGTAGTTTTCAATGATTTCTCGTATCAACACTAGGCAAAAAACGGGGCAGTAACCAGCCAAACGGGTCACGGACCGCGCGCAATCTTTCCTACCTCTTCCTTCTCCTAGTCTCACCCCTTACACACACACATACAGTAACACGCACTACACAAAAACACATTCTAAGAGACCGGTCAGAACCATAAAGCGTGCCCCGCTGGTGGGAGATACCTGGCTGGAGAAACCCCCGCTAACCGTCGTTAGGTCGGCGCCGGATCTCGCCATACGGCGGGGGAAAGATCACCGCCACCTCCCGCAAAAAAGCATACACTATACTTACAGGACTAATGACCCTGTTTGTTGACGTGCTTGGAATCACTAAAATAATCAATCAATCCTGTCTATCTTTATCAGTGAAGGAATATCAAGAAGCAAGCATATTTCCTATATCCCTCTTTAATAATAGCACTTTTGGGTAATTGTACTGTATATATTTGTATATATTTGAAATCCTTATCCACATATTGAGCACATGAAAACAATTGGGTGTTTACCATTCATGCACATTTTTTTCTTTATTCCAAGCTACCACTTGTCTATTTTTATTATTTCAAAAATATTATAGAGGAGAGTTGCAAACTCAAATTTGCCGCTCCTCCCAGCCCCTAAAATACAGTACATTCTGGATCCGCCTCAGGACTCCATGGCTTTAACCACTTGCTGTTTTTCCTTCACGCCTTCTTACCGTGCCTGTTGCCTCTTGGTCATCACATTCCCCACGAGCGCGGTAGCCTCCGAAATGGTCATCGTCCGTGAAGTGGGTTTCCCACGGTCGCCTGCCAAAGTGCGGGGGAGCACACGTGCGTGCGTTACTTCCCGTTTCCTTTCTGGGAGGCGGCGAACAACAAGACATCATTCAGGCCCCGAGTAGGATGTTCCAAGGATCGGTGTTTGACTCACCTCAATCATTTGACATTGCGTTTTAACGTTCCGTGCCGATTGCTAACAAAAAGGTACGCAGATTTGTACCGTAACTTTATCTCTGCGCACGAGGAAACTGTATCCTTTTGGCTTTACGCAAGAAGATTACAATCGGTTTGGAAACCGGCAGGTAGTCCTTCCTTTCATTAGAGAGATATGGATTTGAAATATTACAGACACAGACTATTATTTACATAATTCAGATTGATAATTAGTAAGTATCTTGGCAATGCTTGGAAGATCCTGCAATTTTTTAATGAGATTTTGTAATATTACTATTGTGCACCACCTTTCCAGTTGACAGGTACACACGCAATGAGCCTTTTGCCCCAAGAATACGATTGGTATTTATTTGTTGTACAACTAAACAAAATTGCTATGATAACGTAGAAAATTACTTGAATACTTATTTATACTAATATATTTTAGAAATTTTCCACAATGTAAATAAATCAAATGTAATTCGAACATCTGTCTCTTCTGTGATTCTCCATACACAAATCGTCGTAAGGTATTGGAATGTTCAAAAACCCAAATGATGAGAAAATAAATTAAAGTTTACTAATGTATTAAAAACCACATTCGTTCACCTAAAATTGTTAAAAAATTATAATATATCTAAACCAATCAAATCTACTATATGTTATGATTTAATGAACAAAAACAAAATATTTCAATTTAAAAACAACTATCAAAATAGAACTTTTATTTATCTCAGTCGAAATGACGTAAGGCATTATGATCTCTGGGATCTCGAATGAAAATTCTTGTTTACATCTTAGCGATTTTCAGGTATATTTAGAGTAGGAATCTGATATGGTGGAGGAGAAAATTACGTATCCTATTTTGAAGCATACATTGAGTTTCTCTTAGGCACGAATGTTGGTCACGACGAACACGAATTCTCGCGAACACCTCTCGGACAAAGCCATTAGTCGCTATTCCTTCGACGTCCTTCAATGTCCGCTTCAAGTGCTTCAGTGTTTGTAAGCGAAGCTTCACGCAACGGTGACAGCGGCCTTTGGAGCGGCCCGGCGCGGCGGCGCGGCCGCGGTGCTCGTCTCGAAAGAGGCCCGTTTTGTTGTCAAGAAAAGCCGGTTCCACGAGCACGTACTACGTCAATGTCTGGCGCAGTCCACCACGCCCATTCGCCATGAGCACACACTGGGCGAAAGGTCGGGTCAGTCACCGGCGCACTTTCGTCCTCCGTGAAAAGCTTCAAGCACTGGGCACCGAAACTAAATCAATCGCTTTCCAGTTACTCACACATGTGGATATGACTGCACGATTTCACATCTTCATGGTCGAATTAAGAAAATAAAACCATTCCCTTGTGGAATATTCTCGAACCATCTCTTAGTAGAGTAAATGAAAACTATTAATGTTTTAAATAAATAAATTATTAAATTTATAGATTATAATCTATAAATTTACTTTAGACTAATGCATTAATTAAGCAATGTTTGAATTCGCAATTAGGATAACTTACTTTTCTGCACTTCAGTTTCAAGGCACTTGAAATTAAATAGAATAACTGAGTGAAAATGTATGCGACTCTGCGGAGTAACTGCGAGAGACGATAATATGAAGAGGATACCAAATACATTTCCTTTTATGGTCATTAAGGCAGTTAAATAAATTGATAAAGGGAAGACCATAACGGATGTAAAGAAAAAATGAAATATGTAAAATAATATTATATATATATATATATATATATATATATATGTATATGTATATTAGATAATAAGGAAAATGACATAATGAAAACAGAGCTTGAACGGGTACGTAGAAGTGATTTCAAGATTGAAAGGAGTCACTGGAAGTAGAATCAAGATAATTAATGTGACTGATGATTATGACGAGAAGGGTGCTGAAGATTTGAAATACCAGACTTGTCGTGTCTTTGAGGAAAAGTACATAAAAGAGTTGATAGTAAAAGACGTTTGTCGAAAAATATGTTGACAATTTTGCTGAAGTAGATCCTTTGAAGCAAAATAATAGTATTTATAAGTGTTTGCAAAAATGTAGAATTTTCAAAGAAATGTAAAATGAAAAAAGTGTATTAATACTTTTTTTTATTTAGAAAAAGCTGAGAATTTTAATTATTCAGATCTTGGTGAGCAATTTGTCAAAATATCAATTACTAAAAGAAACAGTTGTCTCCCACCAATGAGCAATAAAAATTAATAAGAGGAGCTGCAATGTAATATATTTTAGATTATATTGTTTTTTTAAATATCAATACAAAGAAACCAAGAAATACAAAAATATTGAGAAAATGGTTAATAATCCAAAACAATATACTCATCTACAAAATATTCATTTCTTTGACATGGTAAATATTAAAAATCGAAATATAAAATTGTTTATTTAAAACATCTATTACATTACCACTACTTCCTTGTGTTTCATTGCATTTTAACTCGGTATTCACTTAATTGTCTATTATGTTACAATAAGTAATTAGTAGCCGATTCAGTCATGCGAAATAATTTTTGTTTCCTTT